CGGTACAAACAACATACCAAAAGCTGAAATCCAAAACATTGTGGCGAAACATTGATAGCAGCTAAAGCATTTTTCACACGAGGAAGTATATCAATTATAAGTGAGTAAGTATCGTTACTATTAACCCTTCCTCCTATAAATCCTAACTATTTATTCTGATTTCCTCTTAACTTTTCTCTGCAATCTTTTTCATGTCAGAGAAAATATACTCTGGAAGTTCTGACTGAATAGATCAACCTTTCCCCCTTCCCTTTAAGCAAGCTTACCTGTTTAGCATTTTCCTTTATTAATAAATTGAAGGTTGATGGAAAGGTTACTTGAAAAAAATGGTTTAGAAACCTTACTGGATTTTCTCTCGAATTAATCACTGCTTCTGTAATCTGTTTAACCTGTAATAAAAATATCACATCAATTCCTAAACTATGTGGACTCTCTGAAATAAATGAAATGAGTCAACAAAACCAAATAAAAATATTATCTATGTACACTATGACAATGATGCAAAGTTTATAATCAACCATGTGGTCTCTGTATAATGCAAAGTTTATAATCAGCCTAAATAAACAATTATATCTTCCATGTGATCTCTGTATAATGCAAAGTTCATAATCAGCCCAAATAAACAATTATATCTTCCATGTGATCTCTGTATAATGCAAAGTTCATAATCAGCCCAAATAAACAATTATATCTTCCATGTGATCTCTGTATAATGCAAAGTTCATAATCAGCCCAAATAAACAATTATATCTTCCATGTGGTCTCTGTATAATGCAAAGTTTATAAACAACCCAAATTTATTTGCCTATTTATGATGCAAATAATGATGAGAATATGAGATTGCAAGAGCAACGGTAGAATATATACAATATATGCTACCTGTGATTAAGGAACATGCAAGTACATAGGTATTGCTATACATTAATCTAACCAGTCACCAATATTCTGGAAACTTGCTTTTAACAAGGAAAATAATATTTCTTATGTAAAATTGCCTGTTTATATTAGGATTCATTTGCACTGTGATTGGCAATCAATAATTGTGTGTACTGTACTGTCTAGTCACTTGTCACCATGATTGAGTTTATTGCTTTAATCAATAGTAATTCATGTTTAAGCTTCAATTATGCTTTACGCCAATACTTACCAACCCAGCTGCACAGGCTACACTAGCTAACTGATTTCGTTCTATGTTGAACAGAGTTTGTCTTCGATTAAATGTCATCCATGGTTGGACTTTATTATTTTTACTTCTTGAGTTAGGTCTGGTAGTTGGTTTTGTTTTGATGCCTGAAAGTCTTACAATGGACTGCACTGTGTCTTTAAATACACTGTTGTAATGATGGGGTTTGTAAGGAGAAATTTCTAAATCATAGGTTTCCCCAACAAGAACATCTCTCTTGAACACTGCCACTTTTTTTTCAAAAACAACATCTGTCAATTTCTGATCCAATTCAGACAAAACATCTCCTTTTTCACCAAGGAATTCAGATGGTTCAATAAAATTCTCTTTTTCAATCCCAGCATTTAGTTTATACAAATCAAAAAGACTAACCGCAGTTTTCCAAAATTCTGAATTCACTGTAGCACTATTCAATAAATCCTCAGACTTGGACACTTGGATCATTTCTTCCGACTGTATGTTCATTTGGAAATCATTTAAATGCTGTGCAAATTTATCTTCCTCTTGAATAGGCTTAATTTTCTTTTTTAATTTTGAGTGCCGTTTGACCTCAGAATCTTTAACACTTGAGGTCTTACGGTTTGAGTGACTAAAATTTGGCAATTCTAATATATCGCTGGACGATTTATCTATACTCAGATTATCTATACTCAGATTAGATGCAGGAAGGTTTGGAATAGATGTAGGTTCAGCAGTTTCATTTGATATGGATTTGGATTTTGGTTTATATTCATGAAAAGAGCTAGTATAAGGTATATCATCTTCAACAACAGTTTTTGATTTGTTAAACACTGATTCAGAGTCAATACGTTGTGAAAAGTATCTACGTTCTAATGTACCTAATTCTGGTAGAAATTCAGATTCAAAATCATTTTGCGTGACTTTATACGCATCTGAAAATGTGGATGTGGTTTCACTAATTTGACTAGAAATTGGATTCTCATAATCATTAGACAATGTGTTTCTACCTTTTCCAGGCATTTGTTTATCACTTTCTTGGAAATCACTTTGGAAAATTTCACTTTGAAAACGTTCATTGAAAAAATTCACGTCATTTCTCCATCCTTTTGTGGTGGACGGATCAATTTCTGACGCTCCGTCAAAAGTTCGCGGATTATTAGTAGCAACAGTCCCATAATTCATTGAATCATAATTCAAGCTAGCTTGACTTGTTCTTCTCCTTGGGATTTTTTGGGACACAATTTGATCGGATTTGTTTTCATGTCTGTTTGCCACTGTTGAAATTGATGACTGTGTCCTGGATAACAACCGTTTCATCTGCCCTTTTGATAACTCTTCCTTATGGGTATCCAAAACTATAAAAGAAAGCAGAATTAATATATAATATATTAATATATATATTAAAAACAAAACCCTTTCACTCAACTCAAAGGCATTGTAAAGAGGTTTTCTAAATTCGTATGTGTTAGACACTGAGAGCATCGATTTGCGCCATTCTAATTTTCAGTCAGAAGTCTGTGGTTCCTTCCATTCCACAAAAAATAAGTGATGACATCACTAATCGCAAAATATGCTCCATCATTTAAGGCCCTTCGCAGTCAGTGACGTCATCAAACACAAGTTTAAGTGGTCCCTGATCAAACCTCGAACCATTTCTCTTCCTGTCACATTTACAGCTGTACATCTTTCACCAGACTTTCACATGTTACCAAAAATAGATACCATGACCGCCATTTGTACTAAGCTTATGACTTCAATATTCAAACAGATTAATTAAATAAGCTACAGTCTGTGGTTTTAAGGAATGTTTGAAAAATAAACACACTACCTTTTATAAGATCAGAGTAAACATGATTAGTCTTCGAAGTTCTGGCTGCACCTTTTCTACCCGAGCTGGAACGAACATAGCATAAATTCTCTTTGACACGCAAAGAATGTTCAAATACTTTTGAACTTTTGGATATTCCCTTTCTCCCTGAAATAAACAGTCAACAACATTGTTAGTAACATAATGCCAACTGATTTCAACCCTGTAAGGCACCATGTTTAAAAAGAAAAGTCTTAATACATGTTCTAGTTTCCCTTTTACTTAACTGCAATGTTAGAACCTAAAATTCCTAATACAAGGTTAACATACCATACTAAAATCAAAACAGAATATCAAGCTTATGCAAGAAGAAACTGAATTGACTTCATTACCGGTATTTTAAAGACTTCCAAATGAAGTTGTCTGAAGATCTCATAGCATGAAACTCTGAGTAACAACATGAATCGAGTTCTGTTTTCTACTATCCACTAATTTATAACACTGTACAAATATGTTATATAAAGAACCTAAATGTTTTTGTTTGGTTTTTGTCATTTTTTGACAATTCGTATGTCAATTGCAAAACAGCCCAGATTGAATGGTTTCATTCTTTTACCTTGAAGGAGACTTGCATGGACTTAGTTGGAGTATTTATAAATACCGAGGGGAATGTACAAGCCTTTGGTGCTTCGAACAAATCGAACAACAACATAAGTAAGACCGAAGCTCGGCTTCCACTTTATTCATGGCAGGGATATCTAAACTAACCTGACAAGAGACACGACAATCTATCAACGAATATTCCATGTCGATTTTTATTACTGGCAACACTAAAACTGTATCTTGAGCTATTAATTATTTTCAAATGATTGTTTATTTGCAATAAGCGAGACATTTCAAAGACTCAATTGTATAACCATGTGTTTCGACCTCATCTTCCGGTAACCTTCAAAGGGACCAGTTTTTGCATAATATTCAGGTCTTACAAAATCATCTATAAAGTTTCTCAAAGTCCTGTGAATTTGACTGTAACCTTTTTTAATCATTTTCAAAAATGATAATAGATTTATTTGAATTGTTGAACTATGAGACGTTTGACTTAAACTTGAAAGTAAAATAGGTAAAATGATTACTCGAGCGGAAGTTGTGACCTTGACCCGACTTCCGGCGCGAAATTTGTGTTTATGTTTTGAAAATAAATTTCAGGTTTCCAAGCATTTATTTTCGTTTTCGTTTATGGAACTTGGTATCTTATACTTATATGGGTTACTACGAAAACGTAGTGACATGAAATGAAGTACTTCATATAAGTTAAACAATGTTTCAAGTGATACAAGATTCCTTCTCCGAAGATAAGAAATTATCTTTTCTTTTGACATTCACTTCAGCCTCAGCCTCAGGACATCGACTAGGGCCTAGCACTAATGTCTAGTACAGCAGTGAATCTTTCAATACTCTCATCTCTTGTACTCAGTGTTTATTAATATGCACTCAGATTATTTCTCTTTATTTCGTTCTTCATACTATTACTGAATACAGTTTTTTTTCCAAAAAACATCTATGTTACGTTAGTTTAACAGTAAGAGGAATCTCAACAACTTGGACCTAAGACCACTCAGACTAATATCTATCTATTTTTTGTTGGAAAAGTGGTAATAGTTGTGACTTGTCTTTGACACTGGACCGCTGTAAGCGAACGTTAACTTGTCATCTACCTACCTACCTACCATAGACAACCATTTCCTGTTCATTTTTCCTGTAACTATATTACCAAATATCACAGTTATGAAGTTGTAAATTAATATATATTTAAACATGCAGATAAAATGGTAATTTTTATCGATTTACCCCATACTGTGACACGAATCGTTTCATGAAACTTGTATCGCGATACATATCGTATTGTGGCATGATTTATGATACCCAGCACTAATCTGAAGTGAACAATACAAATTTTTTTTGCAGATGAATTTGAGATGTAGTTTACTATGTGAAAACTGTGAGACTGGAGATTAGGCAGTATACCTGTACTAGGAAAAGACTGGCAAAATGAGAGCCCAATGTTGTATTTGTTCAGACTTGTTTGAGAATTCAGATACAGTGAATATAGCTGCTGCACCATGTGGCCATACCTTTCATGAAGTTTGTTTAATGAAATGGCTAGAATCATCAGGTTAGTCTGAATGAAAATCCCTACAAGTAAGACAAATCTCATCGAAAGTATAGCAAAATGGAGAGTAAATTGTATAGTAGTGGACTCTTCCAAAGAGAAGTACCATCAGGTGTTTCGAAACTTTACTAAAGTTGATTTCATACCTATTTTAAAAAGAATGATATGGCTTCATGGCAATAACTTACTACCTACATCAATGCTGTCAAAGTTGAGCACCATGTTGTAAGGTATTTTCAACTATTGAGAACAAGCCACCAAATGACATGATCAAAGTGTATTCGGATCTCTGAATACTACCTTTTAAAATGAACATTAAATTTTATTTTTTTTACGTGTCTATCAGTGGACTAACCTGGTGTCCCTGTATAATCTGATAGATTTATAGATGATGTAAAAAATCTTTCAATGACTTATCATGTTCTAGAAGTACCTATCCATAATAATTGTCTTATGTGTCAATAACTTGTGCTTCTAATATACGATTGATGCAATTCAATAGTTTTAAAAATAATTCTCTAGTCTGACTTACTCTTTTATTAGGAACATTACCATTATTTGAAAGCGATAATGAATGTGAAAGAGTTGCTAGCATGTCACATGAAATTCTAAAGTTTGATAATTGACTCTGTAGCCTGACTAACTTTAATTTTTATGTTTTAGGAACATGTCCAAGTTGTCGGAAAGTTTGTAAACGAAGTCTGGTGATAAAGAAATTATTTTTTGATATTGATGCTGGAGATGATGTCTCGGATCAATCACCAACCAAACTCAGTAACCAGCTCGGTGATTTAAAAGCCAAGGTTCGACAGTATGAAAGAGATAAAGCTGATTTGTTGGAAAAACAAACTTCTTTTCAATCACAGATACAGTCCTATCAAGTAGAAAGTGAGATAGTTCAAAATAAACTGAAGAAAGAGAAAACTCTGAACACATCTTTAAAAAAAGAAATCAGTAATTATGAGGCACAGCAAAAATATTTTAAAACTGAACAGGAACAATACAGAAAATCTTTACGAAACTTGAAGGAGCTTCAACACTTACAAATTTTGTTATCAGGTAGGTTACAGAGATTGTAGAATGGATTGGTTTGGTTTGTGTTATGAATGGCATGATCACTCTTAATCTTATATTAGAACATATCTCATTTAAGAATTAAACATTGGTCTTACTAGCATTATTGGTGTGTAAACGCAGTTGATCACGTGACAAACTGAATAAATGACGAAGTCTATGTATGTTTGTGGCCTGATTAACTGTGTATACACACCAATAATGCTAGTGACACCAACGTTTAATTCTTTTATTTATATTAACTTTGTAAACAATCAACAAATAACTCAAGATTTAAAGGGATTATAGAGGGGTTTTCTTAACTTTTTATGTGCATCGGGTTCAATCAGACATCTGTGGTTCGTGCAATTCCACTAAAACTAAGTGTTTGATGACATTGCAAAAGTGGCTATTGATATATAAAATCCTTTGAGTTAGCGAGGTCATTAAATGCTTAGTTTTAGTGGAATTGCAGGAACCACAGATGTCTGATTGAAAATTGGAATGGTGCAAATCAATGCTAATAGTCTTCGTGATAGACCTTACTAAAAATATTTTGAAAACCTTACAATCCCTTCAAAGTGATACAGTCGTTAAAATAGTTGCTGTATCAGCTGATATATTTTATGTTAGCTATCGAGATAGTAGTTCTACTAGTCTAATTAATATTAGACCAAACTGTCCTTCCATATCTTTTATTAGCTTTTATTTTTTATATAGACACTTCAGTTAGGGTCTAACGACAGCCCTCTTGGACGTTCATCAAATTAACCCAACTCGATTACATCTGCTTTAACCAATCAAATTTCTACCCTCCCCTTTTTGTGATGCTGCGTTTATCAGGTTAGGTCAAAAGGTTATTTGACAAACCTTCAGAGGGGTGTCCCTAACTGAAGTGGTTATATTAAAAATAAAATATAATAAAAAACGGAACGAAAGTTCGGTGTAATTTGGTTTAGACTGTAGATTTTGTATTTGATTTAGACTTTCTATTCAAAAAATGTCTATGTATATTGTAAGAAGCGAAAAATTTAAATTTATTTTTTTTTATCCTTTCAGGTTGTGAAAGTGATTCTCTGGAAATTCTGAATCAAAATGGTGAAGGATCCACGAAGCAGCTGTCACGATATTGTGCTGTTTTAAAACGTGAATACGAACAAACTAAACAAGATAAAAAAACATTCAAAGATCAAATTGATAAACTACGACGAGAGCTAGTTAGTAAAGATAGACAGCTAACAGATCGGATAAAAGAAACGTCCATTTTAACAGAACAGTTAACCCGATCTGAAGAGGATCTAAAAAACGTAGAAAAGGAGAAAGAAGGAATGCGTAAAAAATTGAGTCGTTTAAAAAAAGGGTTTCATAGTCCTGCTTCGGCAGCAAGTGCAAGTTTTATCGATACTTTAACAGAAGAGAGTCCGTCAGGTATTGCCATGGCAATGACCCCAGTAAGAGATTCTAGTGCTAAACCAGACGTGCCGATGACCCCTGACCTGTTTGACACACCCAACACTCAAACAAAACGAGAATGTGATGAAAATCAAATGAAACATGTTAAAATCTCATCTGCCAGGGACAGTCAACCATCTTTGAAACGGCCACGCACTGAATCCTCGGATCCTAATGATCTTCGAATGTTGGGCACGTTAAATATCTTTAAAAAGAAAACTGGACCAGATAGCTTCCCCAGTGCAATTCGTAAAGGGTATGATGGTTTTGGTGGCCACACAACATTCACTAATAATTTAGGGTCCAAAACTAGGGTACTGGCACCCAAAAATAAGACCATTCCTAGTAGAAAGTTTCTTGCCAAGCAGCCAAAACTGCCATCTTTAGGTGCCTTCATAGAAATTGATTGATGATGGTTTTAGACATGTAATAATTGGTTTTGGACTTGAAATATTGTGTTGTCATTATATTCTGAGCATTATCAGTTATTATTGTGGCACTGCCTTGACTATTATGCAATTTATGACTTATTACAGGTCACCAGACTTGCATACTCTGACAGTGATTAGAACTCACATCTACCATGTAGCCCATTTATTTTGTATAGTGATATATTAACTCAGGGTTAAATAGGGAAGATTCTCTGAACCTATGAAAATGATCAGATGAAGATTTCTTGCACTGAATAGTAAAGATGTAAACAATGATCTAGAAAATGTTTTTTTTGTATGGTGACCATTTGTCTTTCTATATTATATAAAATACTGATATACAGTTTGTTATAGTTTATTTACTGTATGTTTTAATAGTCCTCAATGTACGAAAAAATCCCCACTGGCATGGACAGTGCCTTTGAAAGTTGCCCTATGTGTAAGCTTAAACCTGCCTAACCAGAGATGACGGAAACAAGTTCCTGTCTTGATATGAACCTTTTCATCATGTCAGCTAGAATGTATTTGACAGGCTGTCTCTTAATCGGTGATGGAGGCAGCTAGTTATATTATATTATGCCATTCACCTTAGGATGAACCTTAATGGGCCCCCTTGGCCTTGCATCATTTTTTAACTACGCATATAACGATGTAACCTGTGTCATCATAAATGCTCAAAACAATGTGCACCAATATGTCTACATGGAGCAAGTACTACAAGCTGCGTATTCTCAAAACGATCTTAGCGCTAGGATATCTTAGGGTCTTCACTTCTAACACTGTTTCTAGGATATCTTGGGGCTCAGATCGTTCTGGAATTCATGGACAGTAATTAATGTATTGAGCACTATTTTAACAGCGAAACACATCGTTATCATTGTAAGTTATTATTACCAGTGATGTGCCAAGATATTCTTTGTCAGTTTTGATGATACACTATACACAACGAACCTTGTGATGGGTGAAGAGAGGCAAACAACAATTAAAGGTAGATTGTGATATATTATGAAGGTTATATTTACAGAGTCATTACATGTATATATACATAAAAACTAGAAACAGAGCAAGAGTTTTCAACCTTATTCTTTCAAATACCCCTTTCATGTTCCTTGATCGATTTCACTTCCCAAGCTTCCCTCGGACTATTTTGTAATATTCTCTTAGGTTTTCTTTTGCAATCTTTTCATGTTAAAGACTATAGTCTGATTGAATTGAATAAGTTTATTTATAATTGTCCCAAAATTGTATGTTGAACTACAAAGCGCCTCATTGTCGCCCAAAAATTTCAAAATTACCACCTGAAATAATTGAAATAATCATATATATATATATATATACAGAATACTGTAGAAAGTAAGATTCAATGGTGATATGATTACAAGGCTCCCAAGACAGTTCCATGGTACCTTCTTGAACCCCAACCTAATGCTTCATAGCAGCGCCAATTAACTTTAACTCTTGAAAATTGTTACATAAATTACAACTCAATATCCGTTAACACAATTAATAAAACACATAGAAATAGTTTGAAGAATATTTGAAGGAATTTAATATTACAATAAGATACAAGAGAAAATAGCACTATGACAACTACAATATTCATATCATATTCACATTGAACAATCAGTAGATTTTCAGTAAGACGTCCATGTTTCTTGCAATTCAACTAAAACTAAGTGACACATCTAAGTACTGATATTTGAAGGGTGCACATTCGAAGCTATCAGTCTCCCAAATACACATAAAATGTTCAAAAAACCTTTTTACAATCCCAAAGTTTTTCAATGACACTGAAAGAAATCTGCAAAAATTACGTCTGTTAGATAAGACTTCTTGTAGAATGAATTTCTCTGGTAAGATGGCCTGGAAGTTGATATTATTTCATTGCGAATGTTTGTAGAATGAATTTCTCTAGTATTTGGGCCTGGAAGTTGATATAATTTCGTTGTGTATGAAAGTAAATCTGTAAGTTTGATCTTCACACTGCCGATTGTTTACGACCTCGTAACCTTGAACTCGTTCTTTGTTCATTTGATACAGAGGATGGCTGAAAAATAAAAGATCAAAATTATGGTTCAATTTACTCTGGTAATAGAGGTTGAAGTTAATACAAGGCTTCTTTATAGAGGCACTAGCCATGGCATAAAAAATTAAGGATTCGAACCCATGGGAACCAAGAATCCAACTCTCTACTAACTGAGCTATACAGGGTTTGAACCAATGGCACTTAATTCTAGTGTAAATCAAGTTAAGTCAAACTTTGACTGCCATCAATGTGAAAAACAAGCATATAAAAATGAACATTCAAGAATTCCTCGCCAATATGACAAAAACCTGATTGAATGGCGCATCGTACGGTTGCATCCAATTCTAACCTAGGAGACTGTCTTGAGGGATTAAATCTACATTTTCATGCAAAGGTGCAAAATTTTCAATTTTACATGATATACAGATATTGAACTTTGTGTTAAGAATACATGTACAGGTACAGGTTACTCTGTAATATGACATACATGGATTAATATCTATATAAAAAACTTAATCTCTTAAACTCAAAATACCCACCACAAAATTACCACATTCAAACGGTGGTGTGATATGAATTTCATCTGTGTTATATAAGATACGTTTTTTACGTCCTCCCCGAGGTTTAGTCTCTGTTTCTGGTGTATCAGGTACAATGTTCTCTAGTGATTCAGATTTCTTAGCTGTAAAATATATCAATAGAACATAAATTTATAGAGCAGGTTTCTCAATTAAAGAAGCTCCAGCTCACTTTTATGTTTGGAATTTTTGAAGCACCATGGACCTTACACTTATAGCAATAGAAGCGTGCGTAGCATCAAATCAAGTGGGTATTTCTCGAGAAGCAGACCATGCTTATTCTTTTCGAAACACCTGATGGTACTTTACTTTGGAGGGGTCAAGTACTTTACAACTTTTACTCTTGCTTTTGCCATACTTCGGACAAGATATTGATTAATGGAATTATCTTGCTAGTACAGATTTTAATAAAGACAAACTAAACTACTCTTATCAAGGGCTGATCCCCCGAAAGGCCCATTTGCTGCCAATGAGAAACCCTATCATGCACTCCTTCTTGGTTTTTTTAATCATGACCATAAAACATTTGACATGTGTCTAATAATAATTGTCTCACCTGATCGTGTTAAAGGAGAACCCATAGCCGAATCACCCAGTTTATTTTTAGCAGTTTGTTTAGCTCTTCTACCCGGTCTTTTACCGCCTGTTTCTTCTTCATTGTCTTCTTCCTGTAATATATACGTTTAATCATTCCATGTTATACATAGATATATTCATAGTAATCAACACAATCACAACCTCACTTCTCACCTGTACGTGAAATATAGTGATGTTAATAAAAGGGAGATAATGAGAAATGTCACGGTTATTTAGGCCCTACTCGTTTACAACCAATCTGAAACTGAATTCCAAATCCGTGTCACTCTTTTACACGGTTTGCCCTGCCTCCTAGGGCAGATTCATCGGATTCAAGATGGTGTCATTCATTGGGCACTCATTTTAACTTAGTCTTGATTTTCTAATCTGTTTCACTCGTTTACAACACGAATCTGGTGTACCAAACCGGTTTCCAATTTTTTGTAATCTAATAAGGCCTTATTGACTACAGGTTTTTGACAGGTTTCCCAAGGGAAAGGAAGGGACATAACTCTAGTAATGGATGGAATGTTTCAACCGCACGATTTTATCGGGAATGGGAATTTGGGGATAAACGAGGCTCCACTGTATTTTATTTCACAGGAGTGTAAATACATGGTCGCTGATAAATGTGGTCGCTAATCAGTTGTTTATCATATTAAAAAATTTTAGTGGAAAATTTATTGTGGTCATATGAAGGTGATTGTTTTATAAAGGTGATCAAGTGAGCGGAATTCACTATAGACAGCCTTCTTTTTAAGAGTCCAAGCAGTCAGTATTGTTTATTTTGTATATTTATAACTATCACTATAATGTAATAGTATATTTTGATAGACTCATACCTTAATTTCCCCTAAATCTAATGGTGTTAAAACACAATCTTCATCAACTGGTTCATTTTTAATTTTAGTAGCAGCCTGTCTTCCACGTCGCCTTGTTTTTGGAACCTGAAATTTTACACAATAGTCTTTATGGGCTTGGCATTTTGTTTTTTATTTTTACTTGGTTGCCAAATATAGTGGTTAGATTACTGGAGCTCACCTCATGCTATTGATATATTTGGAAATGGAATTAAATTCCATAGTTTGAATACTAGACAAATAAACAATAGATCATGATTGTAATGTTTAATCAACATATTGTAGCTGAGAGTATGGATGAACTCAATAATTCAGCACATAGGGCAAAGAAACTCTGGAATAAACGTAACTCGTAACATTGGCCAGAGATGAGAGTGAATACTCTAATGCAATGGCCAAGGTATCAGAGAAAAGTTGAAAAAACTGAAATTACCAATGGTTCTGATTCTGTAGCATTAGCTGATCCTCGTTTTCTACCTTTCCGTAAAGCCTTGGCTGCAACTGTGGGTGTAGCGTCTAGTTGGGCGTGGTCTGATATATCTTCTTCCTCCTCTTCAAATGTGGGTTCTAATTTTATAACTGGTGGGGGGTTGGGTGGGGTAGGAGGGGCCTGCACTCCCTGAAATATGTTAATTTGATATAAAAGTTCCTCACAGAAGGACTGTTTCTAGTATATAGAATATAGAGAACTTATGTGATGTAAAGGTGGTAGAAAAGAAATCTGATATTGACATTGACATAAATCCCCAAACCTGTAAAAAATTTTTAAAATATTGGAGACTATCATTGAAATGAAATTTGATAAACCTCCCTAACTTCAACAGCAACAAAAGTGACACAGCAAGGGATTCAAAAGTTACTAGTTACTGTCAATGAAAAAGAATTTAATGATGCAGCAGACAAGGAGAGAGAAGACAGACACAATGACCAGTAAAGAGAAGAGAGAAGACAGACACAATGACCAGTAAAGAGAAGAGAGGTAACAGGTGTGTGTTTATGGTTGATTATTAATACCTGTAATTGAGCAATCTCTACCTGTAGGCTATGATTAGACTGACGTATATCACTAATTATTGAATCTTTACATTTCTGCATCATCTGTAAATTACGCTGCATAATTAACTTCTCTTCTCTTTCTTTCTCTAGCTGAAATTAGACAGGAAACTAAAATTCAACTCATCTTCATAAAATAGCATGTCAGACCATGTAACCTTCATACACCAACCATAGCTGTATAATATCATATTGGTTACCATGGCAGTAAATACTCATGATGTACGAATCTCAGCCATAGGGAATGCCAATACCCCAAAAGTACCATTCTTGACCCTTAACCTGTGTCAATAACTTAATACCAAGTACCTGTTTTCTCATATTATCAATCTCCACAATACTGATACCAGCTATATTGGATCTTTTCCTACATCGGCCTCGTGTTGGAGTCTGGTGTTTCACCTCAACTTCAGCTTGGTCTAACTGTTCCTCTAGCTCTCTAATACGTTCTTCTTTTACCTCTAGTTCATCTATCAGATCCTGGAGGGAAATATCAAGGATAATATTCATTATTCGGCCATATTGAAGCCGAAAGAGGCTCATAACCCAAACAAACAAAGGTACAGGGTGTCACTGCAGTAAAATCTCCACTGATCTATCAATATATCTATTGAAATATCTTCGCTAGGCTTTAAATATGTCTTATTAGATACTGCAAATGGATTGACTTTATACAAGAGGCTTTAATCCATGGACTTCATTTTATGGACTTAGCATAGCACATTTTATGGACTTGAAGAGATTGTAAAGAGGTTTTCTGAATTTTTTATGTGTATCAGGCACAATGGTAGCACCATTCCAATTTTCAGTCAGACATCTGTGGTTCCTGTAATACCACAAAAAAAGACATCAGCAAACACAAGTTTTAGTGGAATTGCAGGAATCAGTTTGAATGAAAATTGGAATGGTGCAAATTGATAAAAAATTGATAAAAAATTTAGAAAGCCTCTATTTAATAAAACATGTTAAAACCAGATAATCATTTAAAATATCTACCTTTCTACTTTGATTGACTCTCTTTTCTTTTAAATCTTTGATTTCAGCTGCTTGTTTCTTCATCAGTGACTCTAAACTACCCACTAAATCATCTCGTGATTTCCTCCATGTCTAAAATATTATCATCAGTTAATTCATTCAAATGAAACAGAGTTTTAGTTCTTAGTCTTTTTCTATGTTAAGTTTTATGTTCTGATTTTTCTGCTCAGGGTTTGAATAAATTAGACATGCAATAAATCCATTAAACTAAGTAATAATTCATTGAACTAAGTAATAATTCATTAAACTAAGTAATAATTCATTAAACTAAGTAATAATTCATTAAACTAAGTAATAATTCATTGAACTAAGTAATAATTCATTAAACTAAGTAATAATTCATTAAACTAAGTAATAATTCATTAAACTAAGTAATAATTTATTAAACTAAGTAATAATCCATTAAACTAAGTAATAATTCATTAAACTAAGTAATAATCCATTAAACTAAGTAATAATTCATTAAACTAAGTAATAATTCATTAAACTAAGTAATAATTCATTAAACTAAGTAATAATTCATTAAACTAAGTAATAATTCATTAAACTAAGTAATAATTCATTAAACTAAGTAATAATTCATTAAACTAAGTAATAATTCATTAAACTAAGTAATAATTCATTAAACTAAGTAATAATTCATTAAACTAAGTAATAATTCATTAAACTAAGTAATAATTCATTAAACTAAGTAATAATTCATTAAACTAAGTAATAATTCATTAAACTAAGTAATAATTCATTAAACTAAGTCATTTTGAAATATTCTTCAATAATTATTTAGTTTTATGAATATATCATCTTATAGAGATTCTATTCTTTAGTCAAGGCAACTAATAAATTCTAAATTTTCTGTTCATTCTAATAGGTAGAATTCCTTTAAAGATTATATATGTTAAAACTAAGTTCATACCCCCATTTCTTTTTCTTTCTCTCCAACAGTTTTATTCATAGTTTCTATCTGAGTGGTTAATTTCTCAATTTCTTTATTTAATTTACGTATTTCACTGTCTTTATCCTGTTTAAATCAAACAAATAGTTTTATTATGATAACTTTCAAATGTCTATATGCTGATTCCTTATCTTCATTATTTTATACAACTCAATGACTCAATGTTTAATGATGTCAAGTCATCTGTCCTCAACATTGCAGGCATCTCAGCTGTAAATTGATTTGATTGGGGAAAGATCAACCAATCACAATAAGCATGGGAAACTGAAAAGGTTTTTCTTTTCTCAAGACAGGAGCTTGACAATCTTCAGCTGAGAATAAGGCCTCTACAGGAAGTCTTCATGTGCTCAGTTTAATTAATGAAGAAAAGCAATACCATGCAGTGTGCAATGATGAATATTTCTTTGGTTACCTATGAACATAGAGTACAGCAATCAGTGAGGGAAATATGAAAGTTCATAAAAAATCAAACTTACTCTTAGTTTAGTTTTAAGATCATCTATGAGTGTTTTATTCTCAGCTTTATCCTGGTTCACTTTACCCTGGACCTCGTCAGACATTTTACTTTTTATATACTCTACTTCTTTACGACTCTCTACAATAATAAAATATACAGTGAAACACCTCTAAACCATGTAGGTATATTGTTCTTCATTTAAAGTCGACCACCAAGGGACGTCACTCATTTGAATAACATTTTTACCAGCAAGTGTGAACTAAAGTTTAGCCAATGATACTATAAGATTTAAAAAGGTGTAGTTGTTTGCAATTATTTCATCTAACATAGTCTCAAATCAAAAAATTGTAAACAGATAATAATATTGTAATCATTTTGCCATCATAGCACCTCTGTTACATTGTTTTCAGTATTGCTATCAATAACTTATATTGTTCTTAGCTCTGCAATGAGAAAGATGCAAAAATTCTGAATTGATTCTGAATAAAAATGATTCTGATAATTATCAGCCATGTCAAGATTAAGTCTCTTACCTGTTAAAACTTTCTCCAGCTCAGCGATATCATTGTTATTTTCTTTTATCACTTTATTCAACGTTTCTTTATCATTGGTTAATTTATCACATGATTTCTGTAGGGAGGTTCGTTCTTTTTCTAATTCCGTGTTCGACGATTTCATCTCACTTAATTTCTTCACCAATTCCTCGTTCACTTTTTCTAATTCACATTTCTCTTGGGCTAACTCACGATTAAGTTTTTCCAGTTCGTTTTTCACGTTTTCTAAATCAGTTTTTTGTTTATTGAGCACTGTTTTATCACTTTCTAGGCAAGACTTCGCAGACATGATCTCATCGAGTTTATTTGAACTCTGGTTGTTTTCTTTTAATAATTGTTCTAAAGATTCTTTCTCTAATTTCAGTTTATCTAAATCTTTATAGAATTGATCAAGTTCAGCACTTTCTTTTTTCAATTTAGCGTCCAATTCGCGTTTCTCTTGTTTTAAAGCACTTATTTGATCATTAAGATCCTGCGACTCTGTATCTCTAGTCTTCAAATCTTTTTCTATTTTTTCAATGTTTTGTTTCAATGTTTTATTGTCTTTTTCAAGTTGAATTTTATCAGTTTCCAACTTCGTGAACTTTTTATTCAATTCTCGAATCTCGCGGCCAGAATCTCCAGAAGATGCCAGTAAACTCTGATATTTGTCTGTCATCTTCTCTAATTCTGAAAAATACAAATTATTGCCTTTTACCAACAAAAATACATCTCAAAATTGAGGTATTAACACTCTACCTCTACCATTCTAATGAAAAAGTACTACACACTGTACCTCACTTGAAAATATAACATAATAATTATTGTGTTCCAGTAAATTTAATTAAAAATAAAAAAAACTTAAAAACAGTCCCTTGGAAACTTCTATTATTTTTTAATACGTACTCAGAAGTCAGATTGTTACTCAGGATCACATTTTCTCTAAATAAAATTGCTTTACCTGAGTTAATGAGTTTTATTTCATCTTCTCTCTTCTTGAGAATCTCATCTTGTTTCTCCATTGTCTCCTCCTGTTCAGTGAGGGCATCTTTTAATGATTCAAGTACAGCTTCATTAGCTTGAGCATCTAGGAAAAAAATTGCCAAGCATGTTGAACATTGACAAAAAATAATCTTAATTTAAGCTTGTGAATATTCCTGATTGGAAAACGCTTTTCTTTTATTGGGGACTGTTTTCAGTTTTCTTGCCCAGAACATAGTAAAACCAACATGTTCCCACTATTTTGGGTCATGTTTCATAAATTACAAGGAAGAGAGCCAAACATGCTCTGGCCATTAGGGGATGAGAGTGGACACTGGGCCAACTCTCGGGAGCACTGGCACAGATGTCAGAATTGTTTCATACCTTGAAAATGATTCAAACCCACGTCACCTAATCGCCTAGCAGAAGACAATATAACTCACAACCCCTATAGGTGTGTCACTTGATGCTCTGGACCCACTGGTAATGGTTTGATGGATTACCTCCCTTTTAAAATCACTTACCCTTCAGAGCAACTTCGAATTTTTCTTTTTCTCTCTCCATAGTCTGTCTTAGTTCTATATTCGAGTTGTGTTTGGATTCCAGTTTAGAGTTTTTACGTTCGATTTCTGTTTTGAGTTCTTGTATCTTCTCTTCGTAAACTTTATGACTTTCTGATGCTTTTAACCAATCATCTTTCTCATTCTAAATATAGAAATTTAAACCACAATATAAACATATACCAAACTATCTGATAAAATACACACCTGGGTTTCTTTTTTTCACATTAAAATCTAACAATCAGTTTTGTTGTAAATTCTTACTATAAGATTTTTTGAGGCCTCGGGCTCTGAACCCAAATAAACACTGCCTCATGGAAGCTACCTGTATTACAAGTCATTTAGCATTAACTAAGGAGTAGTATACCATAAAATTGTGTTCCGTTATTTAATCCACAAGTATATCTTGCTGATCTAAGACAACAAAACTACCAAAATTCTGGAATATTAAAACCCTGAGAAACAGACCTGTAATGATTTAAGTTTAGATTGTAAATCTAACAGCTCGTTTGTCTGTGTATGTAATTTATCTTCTAGTTTAGCCATATTCTCACTGTGTTCTTTCATAGTTTCACCAGCTTCCTTTAACTGTTGTCTTAGATTTAACTCTCGATCTTGACTCTACAATACAATATCATATTGTACTATCATGGTCTAAAATATTGTGGTCTTAAGATATGAAGTATGTATTAAGAGTTATCTCCCTTGAGAGGTAGTAAGAGAGCCTGAATAAAGATTGTGATTTCATCGAGTAAGCTTATGTTTTGATTTGAAGCCTTGAAAAGTTGAAAGTTTACTTATTTCTTAAAAACTGTCCTGATGAGGATTACTTATCCAAAATTCCAAAGTGCTCTAGTCAAAAGGCTTCCTGCGTTTTGTGTTGTTTTGGCAAGAATGACAGTTAAAATTATGTCATACTTACCCTCTTCAGCTCTTGTAAGGTTGTTTCTGTTGTTGACTGTTTTAAATTATCTTTAGATGTTTTAACTGACAATTCTTGAATTTTCTGTTCTTTTGCCTTTAATTCTGCTCGCAGTTCTGCAATTTCTGTTTCAGATTTTTCCTTCCCAACTGAAGAAGCAGAATTTGAATTGTCTGCGATCGACATTTCCAAAGATCTAATCTTGGACTGAAGTTTTTCAATTTCTTCATCAGATTTTAAAAGTTTTTGTAAAAGAACAGGATCAGAAACTGTTGATGGAATTTGTTTCCCTTCTTCCAGACATTTCAGCTTTCTCGTTAATTTTTCAATTTCATATTGTGCATTGATTAATGAACTCTCAGCTTCTATTTTTTCTTTACGTAATCGTCGGGCGTTGCCTGGTGTTGTATCTGTTTCTGAAGCCTGGTATGCTTTAATGGCTGCCTCGAGTTTCATTGCACGGATTTGTTCACTTTGTAACTCAGATTTCAAATATTCAGTGTCACTGTCTGCCATTTTGTTTCCAGTTTCTGAAAGTTTTGCATGTTCCGATTGCACTGATTCTAATTTAGATTTTAGCTCCGCGATTTCATGCTGTTTTTCATCCAACTCTTCATCTTTAGAAGATAAAATCTTCATCACTGACGACTTCTCATGATCAGAATCAGACGACATTTTGTTTTCAAGTTTTTCACGTGTTGATTTTTCTTCTTTGAGTTGCACACCTAATTTGCTGATCTCCTTTTCTAAATTTGCTTCCTCTGATTTCAAGACTTCCAATTCACGATCCTTTTTGGCGAGTCGATTTTCAAATTCCATTTTTGATTCCGTCAATTCTGAAACTTCGTCTTTGTATTTCTTCTGTAAAGTTTTTTCCATGTGTAACGCAGATTTCAGCTCGGCAATTTTAACACGCGAGTCAGGTAGCTCATTTTTTAATTCCTTGCAACAAAGTCGCACTTCGTTCAGTTCCGTCTCTTTCTGGCTGACGATGTCTTTCATCTCTTCCATGGACGCCTGGATTTCATCTTCCAAAGCTTGTCTCTGATTGGTCAACTGAACAGACAAATCGTCTTTTTCTTCAGTCACTCTTTTTAATTCTGCTTTAACGTTTTTCAATTCTTTTTCAACTTCCTTTTTACTATTTTCAGCACTTCTGATTTTCTCTTCATTTGATTGGATAATTTCAAATTTTTCACAAGTCAGAGTTTCTAAGTTTGATTGGAAACTATGGAGTTCTTCTTTCAGCAGTTTCTTGGAATTTTCAAGGTTGGAAATGTTGTCATGAAGATCCTTTTGGTTGGTTTCAACAATGGAACTCTTTTTGTTAGATTCAGCTAACTTTTCTTCAAGATTCTTGTTAGTTTTTTCCAAATTTGAAACAGCCGTCTGCCATGTTTGATCAGAAGTAAACTGTTTAGATTTCAAATCTGCTATGACCTCATTCAAACTGTTTGACGTCTGCTCAATTGATTTCAACTTCTGATTCAGTTCATCGATTTCAATGACCTTCTCATCAAGGTCAAATTTGATGGATTTGACCTCTGCCTCTTTTTCGCCCACCAGGTTGTTCTGTTTGGTCAGAGTTTTAGTGAGTTCTATTACTTTATCTGCTATTTCTGAACTGTTCTTAGCCTTATTGTCTAATTGTGAATCTCGTTCACTTAACTTGGTTTCCAGCTCACTGATACTAGTCTGACTTTTATTCAGTTTTTCTTGTAACTGAACAATTTTTGACTTGGACTCACTCAATTCTGCTTTTAGTTCATCCACTGTGGTGGTTTGGGCATTCAATTTTGAAGTAAGCTCACTAATTTGTGAGTTAAGATTTTCACAGTGTGTAGTTTTGTCTTTGAGTTCAGATTTCTGAGTGGATATCACTTCGTTAAGATCAGAAATTTGTTTTTTCAGCTCTTGGATTTGATTGGTTAAAATTTTTTCATGATCAGATAGTTTATTGATGTCCTCTTTAGTCACTTCAAGATCTTTAAGCTGGACGTTCTTGTCTTCTAAATCTCCAGTAGTCTTGTTTACCATGTCTTTCAAGTCTTTTTTGACTGTTTCCAATTCTTCAATCTTGTCCTCCAGTTTCAGAATTTCTGTTTCCTTTTTGATCATTCCTTCTTGAACCAGACTTAATTTATCCTTCAATTTCATCATCATTTCCATCTCTCCTTCGTGCTTCTCAATTAATTCATCCTTTTCTGTGACTAATTCGTTCAGTCTCTCCAATTCTCCTTTAAAGCTTTCAATTTCTTCAGTTTGAGATTTGTTTAATTCATCTTTTTTGGAGATCAATTCCTTCAATTTTTCCAATTCTGAAGTCAAGGTTTGATTTTCTGTAGATAAAGTTGCTGTTAATTCCTCCTTCACTTTCATTTCTTCTTTCATTCTCTCCAAATCTTCTGAGAGTTTTGTGGCCATTTCAGCATCCGATGCAGTCGAATCTAAGCATTTATCTTTTTCTTGCACTAAGGCTTTCAGTTGCTCTAATTCATCCTTTAACTTAATCAACTTTTCTGTCTCTCCAACCTGCAAATCTATGCATTTATCTTTTTCACTGACTAATTTCTTCAGTCTATCCAATTCCTCATCAGCTTTCGCCTTCTCTTCTGTCTTTTTCTCCAAAGCAATTTCAATGTCGGCCATTTTGATTTTGATGCTTTCTAGATCTTGGTCTTTAGTTTTCATGGATTCTTGAAGCGTCTTCAACTCAGCGCGTAAATTCCGTGCATTTTTCTTATGGTTCAAAACCTTTTCATCTTTGTCTTCACCAGCTGTATTTAATTTTTCTTCCAACTCTGCGATAAGTTTCTTCGATTCTGTGTTTTTATTGGTTGCGATTTCTAAACGCTTTTCCAGCTCATCGTTGGATTTCTTGGCTAACCTTGACCCCTCTTCCAATTCGGCTGTCATGGCCGTGTTTTTCATTAATTCTGCTTGAAGCTCTTTAACTTGATCTATGAGTTCTGTTTTAAAACATTTTGCCTGTTCCTTGGTTTTCTGTAACTCGGAATCAGTCTTTTGGAATCCTGACAATTTGGCACGTAATTCCAGAGTCTGGGTCTTGTAGCTTGTAATTTCTGCGTTGTACCCATTGATCAAAGCTTGGTGCCGTTTAAACGACTCCTTTTCTTCGTTCTCCAACTTAGATTGAAGGGAGACAATCTCCTCATCTTTGTCAATCAAGGCTTCGTTCAGTTTCTCCATTTCTGCTTCTGTTTTTTTCAGTTCTGCTCTAAGATTAGAAGAGGATTGGTCTCTTTCTCCACCATTTTCTAGTTCTGCCAACTGTTTGGTTAGTTTCTCTATCTGGTCTGAAAAATATTCAAATATTGTTTTATGCACCGATAAAATGATTTGCAAGCCAAACATAGGCATGCGGCAAGTCTAGCAAGCGAATACACCCACCAGCAGCTTGATAAAGAGCTGAATGTGAACTGTAAACCACACTCTATCTGAGCACAAGCTAAAAAAAATGAAAAAAAAAACGAATGCTTATGCAATATCTCTTAAGAAAATCAGCGGATCCTCACCAAATTCAATAGTGCACATCTTCATAATGATACTGACACACATACTCAAGATCAAAAGAATCAATAGAGAATTGTAGTCTGTAGAGTGAGCATGAGGTAAATGTGAAGGATCTGACGGACAGACCGACTGGGGCAACTACAATATACGCCCATACTTACGTGTGGACGTATAAAAAAGGAAATGGAGGTTAGGATACAAGAAATGTAAAGAAACAATATGTATGTAGAATGTAGTCTTCTATGAAGGACATCAACATTAGTCAATTTTCTTTTAATTCAGACTTTTGAAGGATCTTGAACTTGAACAGGGATCTTTCTAATGTCAGCAACCTAATGGAAAACAATAAAATCTCTGTATCATTTCACTCTTTCTATATTCTAAGATCTGAAATAGACCACACCCTGTAATTAAATATTAATATTTTGCCTTAATTAAAGCCATTTTGTAATATGAAACTTTTCTTATTCATGAAAATTACAAATAAAATTTACCATGTACTGGTTTCTGTATTTGCTGGATATGTATTTCATTTCTTTTGGCCAGTAAAGTTCATTGACTTATTGCATTTGCCCAGTAAGGTTCATTGACTTATTTCATTTGCCCAGTAAGGTTCATTGACCTATTTTATTTGGCCAGTAAGGTTCATTGACTTATTTTATTTGGCCAATAAAGTTCATTGACTTATTGCATTTGCCCAGTAAGGTTCATTGACTTATTTCTTTTGCCCAATAAGGTTCATTGACTTATTTCTTTGGCCCAGTAAGGTTCATTGACTTATTCCATTTGCCCAGTAAGGTTCATTGACTTATTCCATTTGCCCAGTAAGGTTCATTGACTTATACCATTTGCCCAGCAAGGTTCTTTGACTTATTCCATTTGCCAGGTAAGGTTCTTTGAATTATTTTATTCACCCAGTAAGGTTCATTGACTTATTTCATTTGCCCAGTAAGGTTCATTGAATTATTTCATTTGCCCAGTAAGGTTCATTGACTTATTTCATTTGCCCAGTAAGGTTCATTGACTTATTGCATTTGCCCTGTAACAAGGTTCATTGACTTAATTCATTTGCCTAGTAAGGTTCATTGACTTATTTCTTTTGCCTAGTAAGGTTCATTGACTTATTGCATTTGCCCTGTAACAAGGTTCATTGACTTATTTCTTTTGCCCAGTAAGGTTCATTGACTTATTTCATTTGCCCAGTAACGTTCATTGACTTATTTCATTTGCCCAGTAAGGTTCATTGACCTATTTTATTTGCCCAGTAGGGTTCATTGACTTATTTCATTTGCCCAGTAGGGTTCATTGACTTATTTCATTTGCCCAGTAAGGTTCATTGACTTATTTCTTTTGCCCAGTAAGGTTCATTGGCTTATTTTGTTTGCCCAGTATGAAGGTTCATTGAACTTTTTCATTTGCCCAGTAAGGTTCCTTGACTTATTTCATTTGCCTATAGGTTCATAACACCTATTTTGCTTTCCCCTCAGGGTTCTTTGAATTATTTTATTAAACCAGCAAGGTTCATATGACTTATTTTGCTTTGAATTCTTTATTATTCCAGTGAGGTCACTCTTTTCAAACCAATTGTTCTGGTGAGGATAATGTAACCAAATGTATCACAAGAGAGTTCTCCCTTTATGTTGATAAATGAGATATAAATACTCTCATATCAAATGTCCACTTGTTGGAAATCAAGCTCCCAAACCACCCCTAATTCAAGTCTGCTGTTGTTATAACAATAATATCTCCCTAACAGAGAGGCTCTTAAAAACTAGCTCTCCCTTTCTCTGCTCTTTAGAGATCTCTTAGCCCACTATGATTTTACATGCGTGAAATCAAGCTCCATATTCCTGAAGATCCCCTCCTGTTTCAAGTGAGCTGTCCTCAGGAGCATTTTATATTCCAACTTGCATCAACAGCATAATCTATGTTCTTGCTTTCAGGATTGAAAGAGTTTTTTCCGGGGTTTCCAGGGTAAAGTCTGTTACTGTCATCTCATCTCTAATCAGCTTTCAAACCTGTACTCTTACACTGATTCCTAAACTCATTTCAAATTTCAATTTTAAATGTTTTTTCAAAAGTTGGAATTGTATTCATATGAACTTTGGAATTGGAATTTCTAATATCTTTTTACCTTTGAATTTCAGTCTTTCATTTTTTTCAGCTTTACAAAAGTAGAAAAGCTATTTCGTTAATGATTTAGTTCTTTTAAGTCACAGTAGTTAAATGATGAAAATTGAAGAAAAAGAATTTTGAAATCAGTGTAAAAATTTAGAAAATAGAAAAAAACCTGCAACTAAAACAAGCCATTAGTATTAGCTACAGTAATTATTACATCTCTTAGACACTCGCAAGCCAAAACAAAATACAAATTTTTAAACGTTGAGGGACTATAATGTTCATCTATAAATTTAGATATTATCTCAGTAATTCACCTATTTTTTTTTTTCTTCTATAATTACTCAAGATCTAAATTTCATATTTCTTCAATTTGGGTGAAAATCTGACTCCATAATTTTTAGTCTTTGAACTGTGAAATTTAATTTATTTCTCTGCAATTTTCATCGTAACTTTGTATTCAATTTCATATCATATTTTTCTAGTTTCAAGGTATGTCTAAATTTGGTAAGTTGATATTCAAATATAAATAATTCATCATTACCTAACCTAGAGAAATAAAACACCATTCATTTCATTTCATTTAAAATAGAATTTTTAATGTCAAATTTCAATATTTTCAGATTTTATTTATGCAATTGATTTCAAAAATTTGTATTTTGGGTTAAAAACTGACTGGAGTGAGATGACAGCAACTGTAAGAAAAACAAACCAGAATTAAAATTTTATACAAATCATTTAATTATTTACAAATAATTCTTCAATTTTTATAGCAATTTTCTTTTATCAATAAAACAAACTCAATATTTCCTCTCACATCTTCCTCAGCCAGTGCTCATGTTAGCTCAAAGCTCTAATGTTAGGCTTATTAGCGTGAAATTATAAATCATTCTAGCGGAATGAAATTAGTGCTTCTATAAGTAACCAAGTATTTTAACAGGACGCCTTTTAACATAATGCTTACATAAAGAGTCCATAGTACTTAGGTCAGCCAAAATATCTTAAGAAAAACAGAGCAATCATTTGACCACTGAAGAATGGTGAATTTTCACTTTTTTGACATTCATATTTCAAGTCTTATTAATTTGCGAAATAAATATTTAGACCGAAGACAATAAATTATGGTCTAGTGAAGATATTTCTATATTTGAATCTAAGGACGATTCAAAACATGAACATCAGTCTACTTCATTTTCAGGTAGAATAAATAGAAATATTGATATTTTACAATTTAGATTTATTTAGTGTTTATTACTGATTACACTACCTAAAAATACAGTAGACAACTCATGTTTATATTTTAAATCGTCCCCAGATGTACTCAAATATCTTCGTACAACTATCGTCAATTTCAAAATATTTATTTATGCTTGAAGCTACCAGTGAGAGGAAATAATCATAATATATAATACCATTACGAATAAATATATACAATAAAATATAATTTCTATTTACATTATTATGGATATAAAAAATAGATTCAAGCTCCATTATTTTCGAAGCCAGGGTCAAACAAAGACATTAGTGCATAGCTGGTTACAATTTCAAAACCAACATGACCTAAATATCATATTTGTGTTCACTACCAAAACTACCTCAAACCAAAGAAAGTTGCTGTCTCATGTTTATATTTTGAATTCTAAACTGTGCACAAATATCTTATTGTCACACAAAGACATTAGTACAAAGCTTGTATCAATTCAAAACCACCTTACATTAGTTTGTGTTTCACTACTACTAAAATTACCTCAAAGTATAGTTCTCTTGTTTATGTTTTCAATTTGCACCAATATCTTTGTTTGACATGAAACAACATTTTACAATATCACTGGGAAAAAACTGACAGATAATTCTCATCTCACACTAACTTAAGGTACAACTATTATTTAGTTTGCATGGCAGAGATCTGATAGCAACTGTCCCAATACAGACAATAGATGAGTAAAGAACAGTAGTTGTTTAATATCATACAGAATGAAATGATAGTTTAAGGATATATAGATAGAAAAGAAAACATTTAAACAAATAAGAAAGAAATGTAACAAAATGGATGGACTATTTTCACAACAGACAAACAAGAAATACAGGACAGAATAATGAAAAGATTATGTTAATTTGTGGGTGGGTTTGAAAGACCTGGTTTATGAAGAAGGTTTTATTTTCGATGTCTTAAATTATAATTCTTACCCTTCCCTACACTTGATCTACGTTTAAATCTTAAACTTAATCGTTTTCTCATTGTATTATTTTCATCAACCTTTTCTAATTTAGGTTCTTCCTTAGCTTTTTTAGATTTACGTCCAAATAAACTACTGACACTATCCTTTTTGGACAATTTACGTTTAGTATTTTCTTTGGCTTCTGCATCAGCCGCCTCCTCTTGTTTTTTGGGCGTAGTTTTGAGCCGTAGAAGACTCGTTTTGGTATGTTTAGACATAAGTTTATTAAGAGGTGTCACCATGACTCTTAAAACACGATTTTGCTCTGAACGTTTAACGGTATATTCTGGTAGCGCCCCTGCTACAGGGGTGACATGAATATCTTGAGAAAGATGGGGAGATATATGATCTGTAGTTGAAGATACAACATGTATACCTTGTTTTTCTGAACAAGTTGCTTCCAATCCCAGTATTCTCTGGTCTTTATCTTGTATTCGGGTTTGTGAACTCTCTACAGCTGATTTACTCTCTTCTAACATATTGTGCATCTCACTGATCACTTCA